TCAAAGGACTGCACAATCTGATCAGCTTAGGGGTCAGTTCCTTGATATAGGGCAGGACAGCAAAACCAGGTCTGGAGTCCGGGTTGGTGCTTGTACTGTTTGGATTGATGTTATTATTGGGAATTACATCAGTTCCGTTATTAGGGGTTGTGCGACTATTACCTGCATCACCAGAGTTCGGCAAAATATTGGAAGGTGAACTAAATAAGATCTTGTTAATCAGACACTTCGGATAACCATTATTGATGAACAGTTTTGATAGTTTACGTAAATTTGAGGTGTGGAAGGTATTATCTGAGATGCTGATTACCCTTGTTTTCATCTGTTTTACCAAATTGATTTTAATCCCTAGCTTATGGTATGACCTAAAATTGAGAAACCAACCTGAGGCCATAGGTTTCTGGTACCAGTCTACCAATAAACTGTTGTTGTTGGTGCGAATGAGTCTTGTGTCTAGAAAGGGGACAGACAGGTTCTCATCTTCTTTTTCAATGGTAAATTGGATGTAGGGGTCATAGCTGTTGAATTCTCTGACAATACCAGCCAGACCTATGGAAGGGAGGCATAAAATAATGTCATCTACGTATTTTTTTATATGAAGAAGAGGTTATAGGGTAGTGTCGGAATAACAGTATCAAGCAGATCATCCATGACATATTCTGCCAAAATTGGTGACAGAACAGATCCCATAGGACAACCATGTGTTTGAGAATATATTTTGTTGTTGAAAGAGAAATAATTGTTATGAAAAAGGAATGTTATAATGTTGGTGAAAGATTCTAGAGATATGTTGCAGTGTTGACTTATCTCATTCCAGTGTTTATTAATAGTTCTTGTACATGCATCCAGATAGATGTTGCTGAATAGCGACACCACATCAAGACTGGCGATAATATGATCGGCTGGTATTGTCAATCTGTTGAACTGACGAGAGACTTCAAATGAGTCTTTGATGTAGTAATCATTATCTGCATGTGCTGATTTTAGTGTTGTCGATATTAATGAAGACAAAGCCTGGGTGGCTGAACCTGTTGATGCAACTATAGGTCTTACTGAGAGTACAGGTTTGTGTATTTTCGGAAGTGCATAAAATTTGGGACGGACAGAGTTATAAGTAGTCAAAGTTCTTTTTTGTTCTTGGGTTATTTGTCCAGTGCTGAGAAGTTCCTTAACAATGTCATTACTGCAACATCTATCTGGATGCATGTACAAGAACTATTAATAAACACTGGAATGAGATAAGTCAACACTGCAACATATCTCTAGAATCTTTCACCAACATTATAACATTCCTTTTTCATAACAATTATTTCTCTTTCAACAACAAAATATATTCTCAAACACATGGTTGTCCTATGGGATCTGTTCTGTCACCAATTTTGGCAGAATATGTCATGGATGATCTGCTTGATACTGTTATTCCGACACTACCCTATAACCTCTTCTTCATATAAAAAAATACGTAGATGACATTATTTTATGCCTCCCTTCCATAGGTCTGGATGGTATTGTCAGAGAATTCAACAGCTATGACCCCTACATCCAATTTACCATTGAAAAAGAAGATGAGAACCTGTCTGTCCCCTTTCTAGACACAAGACTCATTCGCACCAACAACAACAGTTTATTGGTAGACTGGTACCAGAAACCTATGGCCTCAGGTCGGTTTCTCAATTTTAGGTCATACCATAAGCTAGGGATTAAAATCAATTTGGTAAAACAGATGAAAACAAGGGTAATCAGCATCTCAGATAATACCTTCCACACCTCAAATTTACGTAAACTATCAAAACTGTTCATCAATAATGGTTATCCGAAGTGTCTGATTAACAAGATCTTATTTAGTTCACCTTCCAATATTTTGCCGAACTCTGGTGATGCAGGTAATAGTCGCACAACCCCTAATAACGGAACTGATGTAATTCCCAATAATAACATCAATCCAAACAGTACAAGCACCAACCCGGACTCCAGACCTGGTTTTGCTGTCCTGCCCTATATCAAGGAACTGACCCCTAAGCTGATCAGATTGTGCAGTCCTTTGAACTTTCGAATTGCTTGCAAATCCGTCCTCACTATAAACTGCATTTTTTCAAAAATGAAAGACAAAGTCCCGCTGCTTGGCTTAACCAACACAGTCTACTCCATCAATTGCAACAACTGCAACCAAATATACATAGGTCAGACCTCCAGATCTCTTAAAGGAAGGATTACATCACACAAAAGTGATGCTAGGCTTCATCCTGAAAGATGCGCTCTAGCATCTCATGTTAACACAACAGGGCATTCAATGAATTACACAAGTATCAAAGTTCTTGATAAAGAAAAACACCTTTCCAAACGTTTATTCCTGGAAATGTCCCACATCTTCATGAATAACAACTGTATCAACAAAAAGACAGATGTTAAACAACTGAGTGTCATTTACTCATATTTGCTAAACTGCGAAAAATTGGAGAACTTACATATCTCCCCAAATTTCGGCTCTTCACAACCATAAATAGAATCTGTGTTTTGGCCGATTCCACCAGTAAATTTCATTCCACTCAAAATATAATAATTCTCTTCTCACGATTTATTAATAATTGTTAATTTAAATTCCCATTAATTAAAATATAGTTTATTCAACTGCCTCTGGTCGGTTTAACAAATTCTTACATAACATTCTGAAAATCACATCATCTGAAGTGATTTGGCAACGTTTGGCACACGCCCACAATTCGTTCCATCTTTCAACACAGACATTGACAACCTCCGGCCTTCTGTCAAAGGGTTTCATCTCACTCATTATTCCATGACCACTATTTGTGCAATCATCAAGTGGCTTCACGATGTAATGCTCTAATGTTTTTTAAATAATTTTTAATCTGTTTTTAACTTGTTCTTGTCATATTTTATATAATTGTGACCATTGTACAACCTATCCAGCTCTCACCATGTTACTGGACGTTTCCCTCATCCTATACGTAAACAACAATTAGCAACATCCTCACATACTACTGTAAGTTGAGCCAATTTAAATTCATTTTACACTTTTGTTGCTACTGTTATCATTGTAATTGCAGCTCCTGATGATGATGGCAAAGTCCATTGAAAGCTAGAGAGAATTAAAAAAGTATAAAGAGTCCTCTTTGCTTAAATTTTGTCGAAGTACCCAACAAATGGCGGAAGCTTTAATTTTTCACCTAACTGGTCTAGACGACAATGACCACGTCTCAAGTTATATATATATATATATATATATATATATATATATATATATTAAAAAGAAGAGGCGCAAGTATTGTGTGTATTGTCCTTGTGGAACTCTATACATTACAGTCATTTCTTCACTAAGTGTGTTTTCAATTTTAACTTTATAAAATACAAAAAATAAAAACAGTAGTGAAACAAAATTCCCTGTGATTTTAAAAAACAAAAAATAAACAGTAAAATAAAAAGCAATTCTAAGTGACAACAAAAAACAAAAAGTAAAAACGGTAATAAAACGGAAAACAATTACATTTAATTTAAAAAAATGCTTTTTATTTGATTGTTTTTATAATTACATGGAATTGTTTTTTTTTGTTTTACTACTGTTTTTATTTTTTGCTTTTCATAATCACTTAGAATTGCTTTTTATTTTACTGCTGTTTGTTACTTTTTGTCTACAATTATTTACAATTTATCGTTTTTTAGCTTACAACTGCCATTTTTTGTTATACGTTTAAGTTTTGCATATGGAAATAAAACAACACGGTAGGTAGTTTTAAATGACTTTATTGTTTTTCGAAGTATTCTCCACGAAGATTAATACACATCTGCATGCGCTCGAACCAATTTTCGAAGCACTTATTCCACTCGTTTGCTGGCAGATCCAAAATGATTCTTCTTTCATTGTTGATTTTTCGAAGCTCGGTGATGACTTTTGGCAAACAAATGGTGGTATACCAATCCGGAGTAACAGTTCTTTGCTCAGTAAGAGGAATTGTTGTAATATGACCCGCTTTTGACACAAATGTCGCGACCATCTTTTTCGAGACACTTCGAGAACGGATGACTTTTGTTGGCTTTTCTTCACCTTGGAACAGCTAAAGAGCCGACTGTAGTTTATTTTCTGGTTCATAACAGTAAATCCACGATTCGTCACCACTAACAATACTGTACACACTTTTTGAGTTTCCGGAATTGAAACGGTCAAGCGTTTTTTGACACCAATTAACCCTGGCTGCTTTCTGCTCTTCAGTCAACAGGTGGGGTATCCAACGAGAAACTAATTTCCTTACTCCTAATTCTTCATGTAAATTTTTTTGAATTGAAGTCTTTGAGATCTTCAAGGACGCCTCAATCTCGCGGTATGTCACATGTCTATCTTCAATGATGAGTTTGCGCACAGCATCGACGTTTTCCTGGGTGACTGCCGTTTTTGGTGTACCCACCCTGGGATCGTCGCAAAGACTCACTCGTCCACGTTTGCATTTTCCATACCAACAGGAAATTGTCGACTGATGTGGCGCTTCGTTGCCGAAAACAGACGGTAACTCAGCAAGGCATTCTTGTTGCGATAATTGTCTCTGAAAGTTGTAATAAATTATGGCGCAAAAATGTTCTCGGTTGAGTTCCATTTTTCTAATGACTTGGTGACGCTTAAAAATTCACTGTAGTGAGAACAATGCACGTATTGTTGTAAAACTTTGAATTTAAGTTTACTAAAAAGTGAGGTTAAGATTCAGTACTGACGTTCGATCCGCGCGGCCTACTATGTTTCTATATGCAAAACGTAAAAGACATCCCTCGTATCCTTATTAAGAATCGCATTTTATTTTGATACTGCTGTTTGTTTCAGTTTTTCGTTCTTGTGTTCCATTAATTAATATAAGTTATAAGGCTACCCTGTATCCTACTAGAAGATAGAAGATGCAACTCAGCACCTTTACGCAGCGCCTGGCAACTTCGAGCATGCAATATGATATTTTCCTTTGTCTTATCATTCAAATAAACATTGTACTTTACATGTTGTAATGCAGTTAGAATCTAGCCTTCACGCCAATCACTACTTGTAATTTTGGGAATACAATATTTTTTAAAAAGGCACGCAAACTCGAAATATACTAAGTGACATATAAATCCGAACACCCAGTTTAAATGGTTTGATTTTAATAAAAGTTGGTGAATGTATTTATCTTACTGTAAATAACAAGTGAAAAAAATTTCAGCCTTATCAGTTGGACATTCCGGTTTTTATACTGCTTTTTTTTAATCCACTAACGCTCTAAAAATGAATATTTCAGCCGCAGTAAAGAATCAACGTTGGCGGATTTTGGTTCTTGACATCCTTTACGATCGGTTACGATGCCTAGAGTACGGAGACCTGTACGATTTCGTCAACTTAGTGAGTTTGATAGGGGCCGTATAGTGGGACTTCGGGAAGCTGGACTTTCTTTTCGGGCAATTGCAGTTAGAGTGCAAAGAAGTGTAGACACTGTGGTTAGGTGTTGTCAGGCATGGCTTCGAGAAGGCCGTACGCAAAGAGCAAGGGGCACTGGACGCCGCCGTAGAACAACAGACCGTGAAGATCGCCGCCTAAGATTATTGGCCTTAAGGGACCGTTTCTCCACTACCAGGTCCATTGCAAATGAATGGTTTGCAGAACACGGAAGACCTATTGGCATGCGAAGTGTTTACCGACGAATGAGAAGTTTTGGCTTGTTTTCATACCGGCCACACTGGGTCCTCCCTTTAACTCGAGAACACCGACGTAGTCGCCTTGAGTGGTGCAGACAACAGTCACTCTGGGATCAGGAATGGAACAGTATTGTCTTTAGTGACGAGTCTCGATTTTGTTTAGGCATGCACGATGGTCGTGCCAGGGTTAGGAGGCGACGTGGTGAAAGGAGGAATCCACAGTTTTTTGTTGAAAGACATGTTCATCACACTGTTGGAGTTATGGTTTGGGGTGCTATAGCTTATGGTTCCAGGTCACCTTTAATCTTCATCAGAGGTAACATGAACGCGCAGCGTTATATCCACGAAGTTCTAGAACCCCATCTTTTACCCTATCTTGACACCCTGGCAGATCCAACTTTCCAACAAGATAATGCCCGACCACATGTTGCAAGAGTCACAATAGACTTCTTTCAACATAATGATGTCACATTGTTACCATGGCCACCAAGATCTCCCGACTTATCCCCAATTGAGCACGTGTGGGATATGATGGGTAGGAGAGTGCTCAATTTGCAACGTCCTCCTCAGACTCTAGAAGCACTTCGAGAGAAGTTGGTGGTTGCCTGGAATGAGATACCACAGGAGGACATTGACCACCTGATCAGAAGCATGCCTACAGTATATTCAGATAAGAGATAGACCGGATGTAAACAAAAGGTTCGGGTGATTTTCACGCTAACGCCACCGTCTCGACGTAAAACAGGAGCCCTCATTGATCAATTCGCAATTAAATGCCTATGCCGAGCGGCAGAGCAGTCGTATCAAGGCAGAGTCACATTCAGGTTCAGACGTGTTACGTATGTCGTGTACATCATTGCAATTTGATATTTCTTTGGACGTTTTCGTTTGTTATCTTATTAAGTTGTTGAGTTTGTCGTTGTTATTGTTATACCTTGTTATTGATTGTTATTGTTATCAACTGCTTGCGCAAAATGCCCAGTAGTACAGATACTGCCGATGAAGTTGTAAACTCCTGTAGTCCACCTAGGAAGCGCTCTAAAAAAAGACACCTGAGTGCAGAAATGAAAGAGGTCATTTTGAATATATATAAGATCGAGCGCGAGGAGAACGAGGCATCAACCATCAAAGAAATTGTTGTGAAGGTTTCTCACAAAGTTGGGGTGTGTCGCGCATCAGTGTTTAATGTGTTAAGACAATGCAAAAAAAAATCACACCTTTTCTGAACCAATGACCAGTAAACATCGCAAAAGTATTGTTAAATCATTGGATGAAGCTGATAAGCATGCGATTAGGAGGAAAGTGCATGAATTCTTCTTTAGGAATGAAATACCTCCAGTACAACCTCGATAATCCGAATACATGCTAATCCGAAATCGCGATAGTCCGAAATAATTTCGTTCCTCGACAATCCGAAATCGTATTGCGTCATACCTTGATAATCCGAAAAATCGTGTCATAGCCTGTCGAACTTCTCAGTACATAGGCTGTTAGTTTCGAGTGCGGTGCGTTCTTAGTGCCTAGAGTTAATACGCGTTTGAAATCTAGTTATAATTCGTGCACCATGTCTAAGAGGAAACACAAGACACTTAGCCTTGCGCAGAAATATGAGATAATTCAGAAATTAGACAACGGACGAAGTCCAGTGCAGCTCGTCGCAGAATATGGAGTTGGGAGGTCAACCATCACAGATATAAAGAAAAAGAAGACCCAAATTGCTGAATACATGAATTCTCATCAACAACAAACAACACATCTGACTTTGAAGACGGCCAAGCACCCCAATGTAGAGACGGCGTTGTACACGTGGTTCCTGCAGCAGAGGACCAAAAATGTGAACATTTCGGGCGAAATCCTGCAAGAAAAGGCGAAATTTTTTTACGAAGAAATTACGGGACGACTTTGCGGCAAGTTCTGGTTGGTTGGATAATTTTAAAAAGCGGTTTAAAATTCGTCAGTTAACCGTTACGGGAGAAAAACTTTCGAGCAATTTTGCAGCAGTTGATCCATTTCAAAAACTATTTCTAAATAAAGTGCGGGAAATGAATTTGGGTCCGGAACAAGTGTATAATGCCGATGAAAGTGGGCTATTTTGGCGGGCGCTACCCAATAAGACATTAGTACATAAAGACGGAGACTCAGCTCCGGGACGAAAGATAAGCAAGGATCGGCTTACTTTCATGCCATGTGCAAATGCATCCGGATCTCACAAATTAAAGCTGTTCACAATTGGAAAAGCTGCCAATCCTAGAGTATTTAAAAACTGTCGAAATAAGTTGCCCGTGATTTACAAAAATCAGAGATCTGCTTGGATGAATCAAGAACTTTTCAAGCAATAGTTCCATGAAGAGTTCGTTCCCTCAGTGCAAGCTCATTTAAAGCAGGAGGTTTACCTCCTCGTGCTCTTTTGCTGCTGGACAATGCACCTAGCCATCCCGAACAAAAAGAACTGCGGAGCAGAGATGGTCTAGTCTGTGTCTTATATTTGCCACCAAATTGTACCCCATTGTTGCAGCCGATGGATCAACATGTCATTCAAGCTATTAAAATGCACTACAGGAAGCAGCTTCTTCTTCATTTAATTGCTGATGATACCGAACCTGCAGAAGCATAAAAAAGTTTCAATTTAAAAAATGCAATTTTTAATCTCCACACGTCGTGGGAGAACGTCAGCACTGAATTAATAAAAAAATCATGGAAAAAGCTTTGGCCTTTAAATATCCATGAAAATTTGGGCGATGAATACGATGACGAAGAAGACTTGATGCCATTAGCAGAACTAAGGAGAAGAGCGATATCAGATGAGCGAGAATTTGAAGAAATGACGGTTCTGATGAATGTCATCTCATCAGGACCGGATCTTGCAGCGAATAAAGTTAGAACATGGGCCTTGGGCGACGCAGCTGAAAATGAGCAAATAACATTTTCTGATTAAGATTTGGTAAACATTGCATTAAGCGGCAACAACGATGACACCCCTGAAGACGCTGAAGATTATGAAAATTTAGCAGTTGTGAGTCACGGTGAAGCCGTGCGATGTTTTACTACTTGCATAGAGTGGGCGACAGAGAACAGTGTAAGCGGTCCAGAACTGCTAATTCTTCGCCAATTACAGGAAAAAGCAGTGAATTTACGCTTTAAGGCGCATAAGCAAACTGTAATAACTGATTTCTTTACCCAATAGATTTATGTATACATAATTATGTATGTACTGTACTCATATAAATACATATGAATGTTAATTTAAGTTTTTTTGAAGGAGAAAGTTTAATTTTGTTTTACGTGCAGTATTTAACTGACCACTGTCCTTGGTTTGTTAAATTTATGTTTTGTTGAAAAGAATAAAGTTTATTTTTTAATACTTGTGTCTAAATTTATTATTTTCACTAGTTTCACGATAATCCGAAAATTTGATAATCCGAATGCTCGGTGGTCCGAATCTATTCGGATTAACGAGGTTGTACTGTACTATAGATAAAGTACTGCAGGAGGTAAATGGAGATACAACGTTGCCAAATTTCAAACGATCAACTTTCCATGCGTTACTGAAGCATTTAAATTTCAAATGAAAAAACGGGGTCGTAATAGTTGACTACTGGATAGAGAAGAAATTGTGCTATGGAGGAGGGATTATTTAACAAAAATTGGGAAATATAGAAATCAAAACAGGAAGATTTATTACCTTGATGAAACGTGGGTAAACGCAGGACACACTACAAGTAAAGTATGGGTTGATGATTCTGTAACTTCATCCAGGAGGGCCTTTCTAGATGGACTGTCCACCGGATTAAAAAATCCAGCAGGTAAATACGAGTAATAGACAACAATCGGATGTTTTTCAAACCTTGGGAACAAGGTTCTAAACATTAATTCCAGGGGGCAGATAAAACATATTACAAGTAACAAAACTTTTATAACTTTCGATAAAATGCGTGGATGTTTTATTGTCATTTTCATTTGTTAGAACTTTTTTAAGCCATGTTTTTATGTGTTTTCGATATTTCAATAATTTTTTAATATAATCTTAAAATATGTCGAATATTATAAACTTAAAAAAAGTTACTAAGTTTTATATTGTGTACCGTTCCTAATATTTCTAATCATTTTAATTCATACTTTAAGCTTTATAAAGTTATAATTTGTTAATATTAATATTTGCGCGTATTTCAGGTCCCTGATCATTCATTTTTTAAAGGTTTATAACTTTAAATTAAATTGTGAAGCGCTGAGTAATCATACGACGTTCAATATTCTTTCTTTCAATATGACTAAATAATCCCAATTATAGCAATCTGATACTCATGTCTCAATGTTTTTTCGCTGAATGTGATGAAAACGTTTGAAAAAGGTTCGCTTATTGAAATAAATCTACACCAGTTAGTACTTCGATTTCCAGGTAAAGGGAAAAGGCTCATTATCTGCCATATGGCAGTGAGGATGGATTTGTTGTTGACGGTCTGTGGTGCTTTGAGTCTAAGAAAACTGGAGATTACCACGAGGAAATGAATGGCGAATCGTTTGAACAGTGGTTTTCAAAAATTTTACCGAACTTAAAGGAAAACGCAGTAATTATGTTGGATAATGCGCCTTATCATTCTCGAAGAATGGAGAAGGTCCCAACAACGGCTTCAAGGAAAGTTGATGTTCAAAATTGGCTTCGCTCGAAAAATATCAACTTTGAAGAAGCAATGCTGAAAGTACAATTATTAAGAATTGTCAAGGATCACAAGGCGGAATATCAAAAATACGCCATTGACGAAATGGCAGCAAGTCAAAATAAAACTGTGCTCCGTTTACCTCCATACCATTGCGAGCTCAATCCCATTGAGCTCATATGGGCAGAGGTTAAAAATTATATAGCTAAGCACAATACAACTTTTAAATTTTGTGACCTCAAAGGACTTTTCAAAGAAGCACTAGAATTAATAACAGCGCAAAAATGGGAAAACTGTACGTGAAAGACAAAGTTGAAAAGAGAATGTGGGAACTGGACAATATTTTAGAGGAACAAGTCGAGCTATTCATTATTGACGTTGGCGCTTCAGGCAGTAGCGATGATGAAAGCTCATCAAGCTCATCTTTCCAATAAAAGATGTCGTTCATCAAATTCGGTAAGTTATAAGTAATTATAAAGCTACTGTATTTTTTAATTAATTATTGACATTTTTGAACCCATTTTGGCAAAACCTATTCAAGAATCTACTTTCTGACTATGTTCAACCATGCACATTTTTTTACGTTTTGAACATTTTAATTTGGTTACATATTTACCTAGAAATCAAAAAATATACTAATCAATATTCTAAAAGCAATTTTAAGAGATATACGATTATTTTTAATTTAGGCTAATTTAAACGCCATTTTGAGATTATATTCGACTGTATTTCACCAAACATCAGGCGGCATCCGAAGCTGGAAATCGAAGCGAAAATTTTGAAACCCTTATGTATATTTACATCATTATATATTTCTTACCCCACCCCCACATGATCCTATATCCATCACCAATCGTATACACATCGAATTGTGCTAATTTACTACAAAGTTACGCAAAGCAGCATCTACTATCTAAAATATGTACTGCGTGACTCTTAATACGTCGCTGCCGAATGTTACAGCGTTCGATGATCACGTGGTCTTGTTTATGTCCGGTCTATCTCTTATCTGAATATACTGTAAATGCTCTCTCCAGTTCAGTTTGCAATCCAGGATAATTCCCAGATATTTCACTGACTGGGACAATATTAATCTCGTCCCAAAGAAGGTCGGCAGCCCGTCAAGCCTTCTTCTCCTAGTGAATAGGATCAGCTCGGTATTTTCAGCATTAACAGAAAGATCGACTTCCCTACACCACGATTCCACAGAGCGCAGAGCGCCCTGCATAATCTCCGAGACTGTTCTACATATACAAAAACGCCCCCTAACTACTATGCTTACGTCATCAGCATAAGCTTGCACGTAAACACCCATACTGCTGAGCCTCACGAGGAGTTTGTTCACCACGATACACCACAGTAGGGGTGAGAACTCCGCCCTGAGGGCAGCCTCTAGCTACGCTCACGCTGCAGCTTACGTCATTCAGCATAGCTGTTGCTACCCGACCCTCCAGAGTAGATAGGACCCAATCTATTAGGATTGATCCAACCCCGTGTATAACCAAGGCTTGTCTGATAGAGTCGATTGTGGTGCAATTAAATGCACCCTCAATGTCCAACAAGGCCACGAGTGCCACTTCTTGCTGATCTAGAGTCTTCTCCAGCCTACCGACCAGATTGTGTAAGGCCAGATCAGTTTATTTTCCAGCTTGGTATGCAAACTGCTTTGCATGAATGACACACCTTTCCAGCGGGCCATCCCTTAAGTATCTATCAACTATCCTTTCCAGTGTCTTAAGCACAAAAGATGAAAGAGTAATCGGACGAAAATCCTTCGGGCCAGTATATCTAGCTCTGCCCGGCTTAGGAATGAATACCACTTTAGCCTGCCGCCAGCTTCTAGGTGTGAAGCCCGTGGCCACACATGCTCGAAACACATTCAACAGGTGAGGAACAACCGAACTCCGTCCCTGCTGTAACATGGCCGGAAATACGCCGTCCAGACCTGAACTTTTGTATGGAGCAAACGAATCTACTGCCCATACCGTCCTTTCGAAGGTGACAATCTCCCTAGCCGTGCGCCAGTCCCCCCCTGAGGGCCTGCGCAACTGCCTGCACTCTGTGATTGATCGCGCTACTGTGGAACCGGGAAAGTGCGTATCCATCAGAAGCCTTAGAGTACCTTCCTCAGAAGTAGTATTCCCGCCTGAGGGATCATGCAGAGATCACAATCTTGCTTTAATGTCTTTGCATAGGACCTTGTGTATTCTCGCAGTAGCAGGAATGTCGTTTATGGACTGACAGAAGTACCTCCAGGATTCTCTGGAGGGCTTTCTAATCTCCTTTTTGTACTCCTGCAATGCCTTTTTGTAGTCTTCCCATAGAGGAGAACGTCTCCTGTGCTTAACTCTGCTGAGAAGTTTGTGCACCGCTCGTTTTCTATCCTCTAATTCTTTGGTCCAGAAGGTTGCCATAATTATGTTTTAATGGTAAAATATGGATGGTTTGGGACACGGATCTTCGTAAATCCTTTGGGCTTGAAGTACCACAGCAAGTAGCTATAACCGGCCGCGTGGTTATGGTTAGTTGTCGCCTTGAAAATTCGAGGTCTTCTAGCCATTTTCTACTACAATGTGTAGGTTGGCTCTTGTTGGGGACTTCGTATGTCATATTTTTCCCCTCTCCATCTGCGTTTCCTCAGATTACACCAGTATCCGGATGTATGGGCATGTGTATCTACTTTTGTGGTTGCATATGTGCATACATTTCGGGCCTGATCAAGCCAACAAGCAGAAACACGTACTGATCGGGTAGTATTTTCCTATTTTTTGTTATATACCTTTTTCCGCAAGATCATTTGCTCTCTCTCTCTCTACAGGGTGACTTTGAAGTTGAGTCATTAATTTTCAGATAATGATTGTAGAAGGAAGATAAACCAAAATATGTGTGTAAAAATAAAAAAAAATTAAAAAAAAATGTTTACCTTGTTTTATAAAGTATCCTCCCGACAAGTATTTCAGTGCGGACCTGTATTTGATCGTGAGGTCCCCTGTGAGGTCTTAAGTCACCTGATTCACGAGCCCGTTGTACTACATTAACAAAGGCACGAGGGGTTGGTTGCACTCGATTGGGAAACCGATCCGCATAAACATGTGCCATTTTTTATTTCGTTTGAGCCACGCAACAGACACTATTCACACGCGACACTGACACTAACTGTATGTATAACTGAACTGAATAAAATAATAAACTGTACACAAACATCGTTCCAAATTCTTTCGCTTTTTTGTTTCCGATGCGATGAACCGGTAAGGCGGATTGCCAAACACGAGCACATGATATTGAGACAGGGCGGTACTCAAACTTCCAAAGGGCTATAACTTTGTTACTTTAATTTTACCAGAAAAATGGTAAAGGAAAAAAACATTTCTTTTGATCAGATCTATTCACTGTTAAAATAAATGACTCAACTTCGAAGTCACCCTGTATATATTATATATATATATATATATATATATATATAACTTGAGACGTGATCATTGTCGTCTAAACTACCAGTTGGGTGAGAAAATCTTCAGCCTTTAGTTGGGTGCTTCGATAAGATTAAAGCGAGGAGAACTCTTTATACTTTATTAGTATCGAGCTTTCGATGAGCTATGCCATCATCTTCAGGAGCTACAATAACGTTAGGAAGAAATAGCAACTACTGTGCAAAATGATTTTACATTATTTCCATTAGTATGTGAGATTGTTGCTAAATGTTATTAAAGGTTAGGTTGAAGGAAACATTTAGTAGCCTGGTGAAAGCTGGATCCATGGTACTTTAGTTAAAAATAGTAAAAAACACACACAGCTGTATTTTAGGAACACATCACAACGCATTATTTTTTTTTTGGAATGGATGTTAAAACTCTAACATATTACATCGTGGAGAAACCACCTGATGCTGCACAAGATGGCGTACGACACAGGATCATAATTAACAAGAAACACATGACAAATGACAGTAGGCTGGTACTGTCAGAGTCGATGAACGGAACCAATGTGTGTGAGTTTTGTGCTATGTTGCCAAATCAACTTGAAAAGGTATAATTTTTCAACATACGCCAACTCAAGACTTATCAACAAACCAGAAGCAGTTGAGCAAACTATATTATTGATCAGATAGAAAATTAATTTAAAAATTATTTTGTTATGAGTAAACATTAATTATTAAATTTTAATGGAACGGAAATTTGGAGGAAAAGAATGGAATAGAAAAAAACAGATTCCATTTATGGTTGTGAAGAATCAAAATTTGGAGAGATATGTAAGTGCCCTAACTTTTCGCAGTTTAGCAAATTTTAGTAAATGACGCTAAGTTGCTTCACATCTGCCTTTTTATTCATCCAGTTGTTATTCATGAAAATGAAATAAACGTTTGGATAGATGTTTTTCTCTATTAACAACTTTGATACTTGTGTAGTTCATCGAGTGTCCTGTTGTATTGACATGTGATGCCAGAGCACATCTCCCAGGATAAAGTTTGAAATCACTTTTGTGTGATCTAGAAAGAGAAAATGATCATTCTCCTATTTTTTGTTATATACCTTTCTACGCATGATCACATTCTCTTTTTTAGATCCTTTGGGCTTGAAGTACCGAAGCAAGTGGCTATAACCGGACGCGTGGTTGTGGTTATGTCGCCTTGAAAATTCGAGGTCTTCTAACCATTTTATACTACAATGTGTAGGTTGGCTCTTGATCTCAGTCAAAAGTAGTTTTGACTGATTTTTGCAATCAAAAGTGGTCTTGACCAACATCCTTGGTCAAAAGTTCCTGATTTTGACTATCGCCCAAAACTCGTAAAACTTTAATGTAGTTACTGAAAATTATTAGAACAATTATCAAAAAAGTGTTAATACAACTATTATCAACTTGTAAAGCTTAGTAATAATAATGAAAATTAATTGATCTCAAGAACTCGGTTTTAAGAATAAAGTTTGCCTTTCATATGTCCGCACTTCAAAGCACCTTGCTTTATATAAAAAGGGGATGAGTTACAAGAAAGACCTGATTCTGGTGAATTGAATATAAAAATTAAGCATGTGAATGAGATTCCTAAAAATATTTCGGAAAACCATTAAGGCCCAGCAGTCAGAACAGCTTTCGGTTATTATGAGAATGTACGTTTTTTTTTTTTTTTTTTTTTTATACTCCAACTACCACGAAGGCCTAAGGCCTAAGCACCCATTGGGTACCGTGGGGCTATGGGGGATACATGGGAAAGGGGGGACGCCACACGGACTCTGGCGAGGGAACACGTGTGCATGCAACATGCACACATTCTGGCTCCGCCTACGAGAACCGCCGGGTGGTACCTCCGCGTTCGACAGTCAGAGACCATCTACCACCTACGGACAATCACAACATCCATGGCCAAGAGAAACATTTATCCTGGGACGGGACTCGAACCCGCACAGCGCACGGCGGCTGATCAGGAGACCGAAGAGTCTACTACTGCGGCCACCGCTGCTGCCTAAAACGAACACACAACATCCATGGCGAAGGCGAGATTCGAACTCGCGGCCCGGCCGGCCGGCTGATCAGTAGCACGACACTCTGACCCACGCGGCCAACCGAGGTCCCCATACGTACGTGGACTGTACAGCAAAATTGATGAATCGGATGTAATGAGCAGCGAATTATTTCCTACTCTTTCGTTGTTTACAGAAAGGATAGGAAATGTGATGTCATTAACGAACAAAATGGTGGTGGTGTTATATTAGCATTGAAGAATCAGATTAACGCCGAAGTAGTAGATGTTACCTTTCCCTTGATTGATATATTAATTTGTAGATGTTCGATAGCTCAGATACTACTATAACTAATGACGTTGAACAGTTTACCGAGCAACTAGAACAAATGATATGTTTTCAGTCAGGTAGCGTCATACTGATAGGTGATTTCAGTGCGATAAGTTTGCTCGATTGTTAAACCTTGAAGAATGCAATCATGTGTTGAATGATAATGGACGGTTGTTAGATTTAATATCATCAAATGAAACTCCCGTGATACCTTGCCACTGGTACCGGAAGATATCCCCCATCATCCAGCTCTTAATGCATGTTTTGAAAATATTATGTTCAGAACGCACGCTTTTTATGTTTTCCATTTTTGTTAGCTTGATTTGTTTTCTTATGGTTGTTCTGTAAATGGTTTCCTTAACTGTTGGGCAACAAACGCTATTTATTTATTTATTTAACAATCGTCAACATGGACGTAAAGTTACATCTACATATCCCGCTACATTCCTTACAGAATCTCGTTGTAAAGATACTATGTTAGCTATTTGCCGAATTATACTGGAATCACTGACGACGGGAAGCGGAACCATTCGTTACAACACTCCACACACACATTTCCGTCGGCCTGTCTGTTTACCTGTCGGTCTGTCCATTAATCTTATATTATAACGGCCTATAACTTGGGAAGTGCCGCTCGGATCTCGATGAAATTTTTACACAATGTTACTTATATGCCAAGGACGCGAAAATCAATCCAGTGGCGGCAGAGAAAAAGGCCTAAAACGACAAAATAAAAATCGATCAAACTTCATTTTTTGACGTTTCAGCGGATCCAGATCATTTTTGAAAAAATTTCAGTTGAAAAAAAACTTGTGGGTGGGGGTTGTAAGCGGGTGGGGAGGATTCATCTCAATTTTGATGCTAGTACATTTATACGCTCCCAAAATTGGTAATTCCTCGCACCTATTAGACATATTTCACACATCATACATTTCTCTTTAAATTAGCCCTGAAAACTTAAAAAATATTCTCGGGAGACGAATCGTCTACGTATCGTCCGCGGCTGCTGCTCGCGTCGTGCGCTGACCGTGATGACTGCTCTGTTATGGAATCTCACGTATTTATGACGAGCAACAGCATAGTGTTTTCTATACTCTGGCCGCAATACCCCATCCACGATGCCACGTCTGCCCGAGTTAGACATCGGGGAGAGGCGACGTTTCCAAATGCACTACGGGTAGGGCACGGAAAGAATGTCTATAGACTAATTGTAATGACCTGTTTGACTGTCTTTTTTCTCAAAGGGTCTAGTTTGTGCTGTACTTTATGTACGGATATGGGTGTTGTGTGGGAAGTGCAGAGTCAACCTGCTTGACGCCATTTTTTAAGAATAGAGTGTTTTGCTACTTTTAGAAGAAAAATACAAAATAGGATATTACTTGCTTGAATATGTTTTCGTTGAAAATAAGAATTACCCATTCCACTTTTGTGACGAATCTATGTAATTTCAGATAAAACCGATCCCTTTGCCTGATGGCGAAATCGCCTCCGAATCCAACCCACAACGCTTCTATGTACCTCAGGGCGACGCCGAAGAAAATTCTCCACCTGCAGCGGGCCCCCCTCTCAAGACGTCTACATCAAAACCGCTACGTACTAGTAAATGTAGGATTGGGATTAGCAGTCCACCTAGGGAGGGGCCTAAAGTGACACTCGACAAGGGAAGCGGAACTGGAAGCATTTGCGACGTCTGTGGAGGAAATGGAAATGCTAATGATTCTGTTAGGTAAGTTGCATTGCTGAGTTGAGCCACGGTTGTTGTTGCGGTGAGAGTCTTAACCATTTTTTGTTCAATCCACTATTCGTCTCTTTCATTATCTATAAATCCTATGCAAATTGTACAGACAAAATGGTGCGATATTTTTCGGGAATGCTTATGAATCTAATGTGGAATCGCTGCAAAAAATTGTTTGGACAAAGAATATGTTGCAAAAAGTGCAATCTGAATCCGTTATATCTCCGAGATCTGTAATCAAAAACATCTTAAAATTACAAAAGTTCATATTTAAAAAATATACAAAATATGAATAAAGAAGCGGAAATAATTTCTAACACCTTCATCAATCAAGTTGACTAAACCTTACAGAAGTATTTAGTCTGTGACACCTTTTAAGTAAGGACCAAAGTCACATTCTCGGTGTGTGAGTTAAGATGTCCCGGACAATTCGCGGAAAACTTGTTTATGAGTTAGTATTGGCTTGTTTAGGTGTCTAGGTATCAGGGGTGTCCCCGAATGTGTACTGTCGCTAAATAGTTATAGACACTGACGTCCTAGCCAAATAGACCTGAAAACCCATTAATAAATCGGCAATTTTTCATGTTTGCTGATCTGAGTGGCGGGAAATGGAAACATTCATTCATGATTTTACCAAAGATGACCTCCATTGCCACAGTAAGAGGTTATTGTTATACACTACTTTATCTGTAGGTAGGTAAAAACATTGCTGGTAGAATCTCGTTATGGTAAATTTGCTCTTGCTGGAGCAGCTAGAGGCAGCTAATCTTTTATGACAAGGTACTTGACATTTATACTTCATATTTGAGCCTACCCAGAGCACTGTGTCTCATAGTCTAAACATATTAGCAAATTTCCCAGAAATAATTGTAAAGTTTGGTTTTATTGATACAAGTTGTTCAAGGGGGTATTTAAAAAATGGACGCATGAAATGGGTACACCAATTTTTGTTGGAAAACTGTTTACCTAAGAACAAAGAATGAGAAAATATGCTTTTTGGGATTCAATCGAGAGTGTTGGCAGGACCGAAAAGCTTTTCAAAAAAGATTTTTAGGTATTTACGAGACCTAGAAAATGAGACCACACATAAAAATATCCGACTATTGGCATAAAAGTTATGGCCGAAAACATACACAAAATGCAACTTTTGGCACTTGTTGAATGGGACGATAGTGACACGCATATACTTGAAATTCCTCACATCCATAGGCTTTATACTCCTCAATAACCACATCAAAATTGGGGTCGTTTGGTCAAGTAGTTTTTGAGAATTTCTAATTGTTTATCCAGAAACACCTGTTTTCTGACCATCACTACTAGTTTATTGAACCAAATATATACAATGTTCGTTCAAATTGCATTTTATATCAAAATACACTAGTTTTCCTCAACGATATGGATCACAGACTATTTAGAAGCATGAATGTTATTTTTATGCGAAAAACAAAGGTTTCCGTTTTTTTCTTATAAACAAATTCATTGCGAGTAATTGAACAGATGCGCCACGATAATCGAAAAACATATATTATTATACACATTTTAAAATAAAGCGGATGTGTCTATCACCTTTTATTGAAAAGAAAAAAATATAGAGCTGAAAGTTTTACACAACAAAAAATAATTTTATACTGAAATTCACTGGTTTATAAAGTTAGCACGCAAACTGAAGACACAATTATGTTTCAAGCTGTCTTAGCCTAGTTAGTATGTAGCATGTGCTGCGTGGCTACATTATTGATGGCTGCATGACTTTGTTAAATTGCGTAGCTCACTTAATCCAGTTTCTTTTCGAAGAAATATAGTTTCCTGGGCCTTTTTTTCTAAAAGTTTTAATATAGTATACGTTTGTTTTCGAAATCTCGTACCACTAAAGCTATTGCGATTTCAAAGTGTTGGAAAATAAACTCGACAAAGCGAAAAAACAGTAGACAAATATCAACCAATGACCGCCTGAGGAATTAGGCAAAATGCTCGGTATTACTCCTTAATTCATTATTTAAAGTTTCATCATTGTATCTTGTATGGTTTTCAAGATTGGATGTGAGTATATAGAATTGTGTCTGTACGCCGCCATATAGAGTTACTGTGAAATCATGTTTTTAGTGGTAAATACTCGTCTATGGTAAACTATTTGAAACTTACATCATATTGTTGGTGAAGAGATATACTACTTATCTGTATGTTTGCTTGGTTAGTCATAAAGACAGATAATATTTCTTATTTATCTTGTGATGGCTGTGAGAGACATATTCATTCAGAATGTTCCGAACGCAATGGCTCTGAGCTAAAGGTGATGGCCTTAAAAGGCAAACAGGACTGCTCAAGTCTCTTGGGAATTAGGCTTGTACCATAACTAAATTAAAAAGTTGATAATTTGATATAAGATCTAGAAAAGCTGAGACAGGAATCACCTCTTCATGTACAATCTTCATCACCAGTGGAGAATGAGGAGGTTGTTCAAGAAATTGAAGAGCGGAACCATAGGAAGGAGGTCAAAAGTATATTGCAATCCCTTTCTTCAGACTATTCAGCCTGCGAAAGTTTGATCCCAAAAGAGATAGACCCAGGCCGGTAAAGGTTTCTCTACGGAATAATCAAGATGTCATGTTATGCATTAAAAACTCTGCAAAACTTAGATCCGGTAATTGTAATACAAGAATAAGTATCTCTACTGACAACACCAAAGCAAAAGCAATATTACAGAAAGGTCAAACATGAACTGGATCACAGGGTTGCTGCAGTAGACAAGAACATCAGAATCAAATACGTAAATGGTCTATAAAAAATTGTTGCTATTTTAAACTGAATAGACCCTGCAGCACTGAATTTCTAGCATATTATCAGAATGTTAGGACTTTGAGTTCCAAAATTGATGATTTATTTTCATCGGCATTGGTTTGACAGAATCTTGGCTGTCTGACAGAGTACTTGACTCTGAAATTTTTCCAGGGAATTACAGGGTTTTTCGAAGTGGTCGTGATTTTACAAGGACAAATCAATTGTCTGGTGGGGGTGTATTGTTGGCATGTAAAACGAGTTTTATGACAGAGCGTGTCTTTTTAGATTTTTCTCCTGATTATCCTTCCATTGATATAGTTGCGATTAAGTGCAGGCTATCACTCACTTTGTTTTTTACAACGCTGTCTAATCTTTTAGATCTTACCAACACCATCCAATCTAACCTAATATTAAATTCGTTGGGGCGATTGCTGGGCTAACATATAGTTGTTGCATTATCAATGGGGTATAATATTCGCCAGCTCCTCAAGTCGGGAACAAAACATTCACGACCGAAGAAAACTGCCAGTAGTTCCGGATGATTTTCTTGCGGGATCTTCTTCTCAGGTGACCAAAAATCATGAGACTTTTGACCTGCCCAGCGAATGTCCCAGTCCGAGAAATTATACAACTGAAAATTGGATTGTTCAATACCGCTGACTGCATCTGCCAGTTTCTTTAAGCACCAGCCGAGGTAGACCTTATGTGTAGATGTTAGTGGCACAGTAGCGTTAAAATTCAATTGAGAATGTCACAGGGCAAGAAATTTCATTCGTTAGTGTATAGTCGGTTGCAACGAAATGCAAGACCAGCTGACACCAAGATCCTGATGCTTACCGCAAACTCTCGGAATCTGTCTTGGTTGCTGTACATTATTGCCCTTACTAGGTTTAGTAGCATCTGCATCTTCCGCTCAAGTAAAGATATGAAATAAGTAAACAGATCGAGTCTGTCTTCAGCGCATATGCTACTCTCTCCAGTACGCATGAAGTGGGTAACAGCGCACCGCTGTTTTCATTCTCTTCCTGGAAATAAATAAATTTAGCACGAGCTTTCTGCCTTCTCCATTGATCGTATTTCCGGGCATTGTACAACTTTATATCGAAGATTGATAACAGGACAACTCAGATTGCATGCAGATGTCAAGTAAGCTGTCCTTCTGACAAATATGACTGAAGGGCACTCATACTAACGACCAAGTTTTTGAGACGCAGACACAACTAAAAAACGTATGTCTTTGAGCTCACCGAACAAACGTTCACACACAGGGGTAGGTTGCATGTGTATGTATGAGAGAGATGGATGTCTGAAAGCATTTCTTATAGTTTTACTTTGAACCGCTAAAAACCCTAAAAAGAACTATACATACTTACTTCCTTTCTCTCACAATTGAGTACGGGGCCTAAAAGTGCCCAATTTTGACTGAAGGTCAAGCAGCTTTTTTTTAATTGATTGAAAAAGGAGTGTTAACTGATGCCTGGATATTATTCAGGCAATCTCTATGAGTTTACACAACCGAACAGAAGGAAATACAGACACAAATACATACTCATTTTAGCTGAAGGTATACCAGGAATGGTTTTAGAACTTTGTGCACACATGATGGGCACAATTTACCTAACCGGCACAGCATTGTATTGAAGATGAATCTGAAATATATTCTTTGACTCTCCCTGATGGAGACCAAAATCTGTGCATATCCTAAATCCAGATTTGTTAAGAAAGTATCGCTACGGAGAAGACTGATCCCAGTTCAGACTTGAGGGCAAGAAAACGTCGGACAGGCGCTGATTTTTAGTTCATTCTGCTTTTTTACTGATAGCACAGAAGCCGAGCAATTGAGAAGTCGGTAGGTCATAGACGGGCCAATGAGATTCAGCAATGGCAGAGTGCTGAACCGGTCACCACGTGAATAGCAAGTGTCCACTCGAATCCAACTCAGGACCTTAGCGCCACTCCCAAAGTACTGCCATTGATACGCATCATATTCCTTCTGATCTATGTACCTTATCTGCAATAACCTGTGATGGCTGACGTTGTCAGTACATTGTCCGTCCTTTTGGCCTTTAGTCGCTGTAGTACTCCTGAGTTATTTGCTTAAATGTGAATATCTGCATCTGCATGCACTCCTTCGGCTCGGAGAGTATAGCCACTTGCAGTTAATGAACAACTCACATGTTGCTGTAAAGAGACCAAGCACGCCTCTCTGCGTGCGACAATTTCTGTTATAGCGGCCGCTACCTCAGCGCTCGCCTTAGGTGGCTAGAATCGAACAGAATTTATCGTCATCAACAAGACCTGCCCTCGAAATGTCAGCTCGTGGTGATGCGTCAACTATTGAAACAGAATACATGGCCTTTAAGGCATCACAATCCAGAGCGCCCTGCTGTTCGAGAGACACCTATGCAAAATGTAAAGCTAATCGGGCATAATGGTACCTAATCTCCGTTATTACTGAAAATTAGTACTTTTGTGATTTCGTAACTTGTCATGTTCATACGTACAGTCCTGTTCCATAGTTATCACCAACCAGGTGAAATTTGCTAGCACAAGCAAAATGTATCGCTGGTCTACCATAGATATACCTAATTTCTATATGTCATAAATGAAACATGCTACATTGCTATCACAGACCAGATGGAATTTGCCATAACAGGCAAAATGTAACGCTAGTCTCGCATAGATGAAACCTAATCTGGTATCTTTTATTAATGAAAAATGTTACTTCGGCGGTTTCCCAAACTGTCATGTGCATTCTGACAAAGATGTTCCAAGGTTATCACAAACCAGATTAAATTTGCTATCACAGGCAAAATGTAACGCTAACCTCGCATAAGGTGCCTATTCTTTATCTGGTGATAAGAAAAAGATATACATTGGCGATTTTCTAACCTGACATGTTCATAATTACACACCTGTTCCATGGTTATCACAAACCAGAAGGGATTTGCTATCACAAGCAAAATGTAACGATAGGCTCACATAGATGTACCTAATCTCTGTCTGTTATTAATGAAAAATGGTACTTCGGCGGCTTCCTAACTCTCATTGCATCCTTACAATTTATGTATATCATAAACCAGATGGAATTTGCTATCACAAGCAAAATGTAACGCTAACATGACATAAGGTACTTAATCTCTATCTGGTAATAAGGCAAATATATACCTTGGCGGTTCCCTAACCTGCCATATTCAAACTCACAGTCCTGTTTCATGGTTATCACAAACCAGGTGGAATTTGCTATCACAAGCAAATGAAAAGAGATTGTTGCACATACTTTATCGCTACGTTGTCCCAAACGCTTTCAATGTTGTTATTTGTCGTAGGATCTTAGCCATCACAAGCTAAGTACAAGTTAACATCACAAGCAACGGAGTTGTGTGTTGAGTTGTTAACCCAAACGTCTTCGTTCGTCCTTGGTGTGGAGCTGACTATCATAAGCCAGGTCCACGTCCCCTATCCCAAGCAACCAAATCCAATGTTTCAGCGTTATCCCAAAGGTTGGCTATCACAAGTCCAGGTAGCTATCCCAAGCAACATAGTCCAATGTTAGAACGTTATCACAAACGACGTGTCAGGCACAGTCTCCAACGCGGGTGAGCCATTCATACTAACATTCACCTAACTTCATAAACTTGCACCTAAACAGATCGGTTAGTAGACAATTACCTGATGGTGACGCCCCTTTAGAAAATCAGGTCTGCACGCCACTTTCTGATTCTGCGTCCCGCCGACAAATTTCATCTATCGGCTCACCTTCGCTCCAGTTGTCTAATATTTTTGTTCAGCGATTCCTATATGAGCAGTTCCTTTGTCGTTTCTTCGTTTAGGTGCCTCGAAACGTAAAAATCGGTGCGTGAACACGAGTTCGGTATTGAGCGCTTGTCACGAGAACAATGAATGCGAGTTTGTGGGCCCGTGTGTCGGAGAGGAGAAATGTGGTAGGGCGCGGTAAGCCGCTTTTATTCGCAGCGTGCGCGCTTTGAACTCGTGGGTTTGGTCGGAAACGGGATACTACATCTATTTTATTTTTGAGACGACGCCGGAACAGAATAAACAACTAATCGTTATATCAAATAAATCTGCTACATCGCGAAATGATGAGTGTTTGCACATAAGCAGAAAGTTTCCCATTGCCTCCAGTCGTTTTTTTGAAGAACATGCTATGTTCGTACAAATATTTAGTTGAGATATCTTCAGCCACTTTGCGAGTCACCCTGGATTGTTCCATGAATTCACTTCCATTGTAAATAGGTACCATCACATTTATGTAATGATCATTTTTTGTTTTTTACTATTAAGCAGTATGTTTTCCTCATCACTCGAATCGATATCTGAGATCCAATCGGATTCTGAACATAAACTATAAGAATCTGATATTTCTGCGAGTACTACGAACAGGTATATACAATCACAGCCGACGTCAACTACGAGCCGTGAACAAAGAAATCTGGCAACGTAGGTGGTAGTGTTACTCCCGCCGCTGCTTGCTGCATCGACGCAACTCGTGCTCAAAACGCTGAGAAAACATAACGTTTTCAATTTGTGATTTGGGAATCCAAGAGGCTGTAATTAAGAGATAAGCTTGTTTTCTAAGCTTCAAAGTGTGTGTATGTGTTCAAAGTGATCGATGACTATAATATATGAGAAATAGACTCCAGTTGTAGTGCTTCTGTGCTTTAAAAATAAACTAAGAAGTGTGACTGTGGCTGTTCGCGCCTCAGGATGCTAAGGATTTCAACTATTGAAAACGTAGTATTTGATGCAGGCAATATGCCTCGTTGTTGCTGTGTTCCTTTATGCAATGCAAACTATAATTCTGCTTTGAAAACAGAAAGCTATGTTTCAACTTTTCGCTTCCCAAGTACCGAAAGTCTGAAAAACAAATGGCTTATGGTAATTCCCAGAAAAAATTGGACACCTTCAAAATATTCAGCTGTGTGCAGTCGTCATTTTAGAGAATCGGATATCATCAGGACAGAAAATATAGTTTTGGCGGATGGAACAGTCCAAAATAATATACCTTTGAAATATCCAAAATTGAAAGAAAATGCTGTTCTCTCCATTTTCCCAAACTTGCCATCATATCTTTCAAAAACCGAAGCACCCAAAAGAACTGACCCAATGCAAAGAAAACAAAAATTAATTGATAAACATGAAAAAGCTATCCAGAATTTCGATGATATGGATAAGATCAAAGACTTTCAAGAATTACATTCTTCATTTTAAAAAATTAAAGCCTCACAGAAATGGAATAATGAATTATCTGATGGAAAGCTATATTTTTATAAATTGGATTTTGAAAATGATATCTTAACTTTGAATACACAGATTATAGTTGATGGTCAGATGGAAGTTCAGGTTGTTCATAAAGGATGTAAGCTTTCTTTTAGTGACTTGAAGTGGGTTTTGCCATATGATCTCAAAATTACCAGATGGTCCCAATTAGAAAACCTGCTGAATAGGTATTTTTTCTATTTTTCTGAGAACCAACACAAAAACTCTGTTGAAGTTTGCATCATAAATGCATTGGAACAAATTGACAGCGATTTCCATAATTAATAATGACTCAGTTATGTTTCCATATATTTACAAAAAATCTAGAGATTATTGCTGATCAGCTGAGACAAATTCAAAACAGGAAAAACAGATATGCATCACTTTCAATAATGGCTTTTACGTTTTATAACCACTCATCATCAACATATAATTTAATTAAAAGATTTTTTATTTTGCCAAGTAAGCGATACTTACAACATATCTCCTCAAGTATGGATATATCTCCAAAAAATGATAGGAATAATGAACACTACCTTTCGAATATAGCAATTAAATTAGCTCCAAGAGAAAAAATTGTAATTTTGATGATCGATGAAATTTATATAACATCTAGGCTGGACTATCGCTCACAAAACATTGTTGGGTATGCCTCAAATAAAAATGACATGGCTAAAACTGTATTAGCCTTCATGCTATCTTCAGCATTTAGAAACATAACAGAAATTATCAAATTACTACCAGTTTCAAATCTAACAGGTGATGAAATGACACCTTTGGTTGAACATGTGATAAATTTAGTTCAAAAATGTGGATTTGAAGTTATTTGTGTTGTTACTGATAATCACCGAATTAATAGAGAAATGTTCAGGAAATTAGCAAAGGATTCATCAGAAAATTATTCTATTCCAAATCCACATAATCCTGATAAGAACATATGTTTAACTTATGATGTTGTGCATATTTTCAAGAGTATCAGAAATAATTGGATTAATTTAAAAAACCTAGACAAAACTTTTGTATATCCTAATTTTGACAATAATGATATTATTCAGTATGCTATATTTGAAAACATTCGTGCTGTATATCAATTGGAAAAAGAAGCTGTAGTTAAGAAAGCATATAAATTAAATTATAAAACATTGCATCCAAATTCATTTGAAAGGCAAAATGTAAATTTTGTAGATAATTTATTCCATCACTCAACAATTGCTGCTATGAAAGAATTAAAGTTTAATGATGCTGCACACTTTTTGGAAATAATCAGGAATTGGTGGGATATTGTCAGTAATACAAGAGTAATAAAAGGAGAATTGAAGCGAAACGAATTTTGTAAGCCTATTACCAATAAATATGATTATAGAGTACAATTTTTAAAAAAAATCCTGATATGGTTAGAAAAATGGCATAATCTAGAGAATAATAATGGACACCTGACACCAGAAACGTATACAGCTCTATATCAAAGCACGCTGACTCTACTTAATATAATTGAATATTCATTTAATCAATTTGACATTGAGTATGTATTGCCTGGAAAATTCACCACTGATAATTTAGAAAAACGATTTGGCAATTATAGAATTTTATGTGGCTGCAATTACAATGTGTCATATGATGAAATTTTAAATGCTGAAAAGAGAATACGGCTGAAGCATATTTTCAATGAAAAGAAATCGTCATTTTCTTTAGCAGAAATTAAAACAAGGTTCCAAAACTGCTTAGAAACTTCAAGAAAATTTTGATTTCTTGGATACCAAACAAAATCCTGAAGTTTTGGATATATTCAATGAAGTATTTGAGACAAATTACTTAGCCAATTGTGACATAGAGGATAGTACTAAGATTTATATATCTGGATATGCTTCACACGCTATCTCTAAAAACCTAAACTGCGAGGTATGCAAATCGCTAATAGTTAAAGAAAAAGGTTCATTAACAACAAATGTTTATTTTGATCATTTGCAAAGAGGAGGACTGTCAATTCCAACCAGTTATGTACCAATCATATTCTACCATATGTATGCCATTTTTGAATCTATTATTAATGTAGATAGATTGGAAATTTTCTTCTTGAAAAGCAATAATGAAAAATTTATTTTGTGTCAGTTAACCTTGCTCAGCATTCAGTCTGACTTTATATACAGTGAATTTTCTTTAACTTGCATCTGTGGCCGCAATTATGCAGATATTTTATCTAAGCTTTTGTCTATTTTTTCAAACATAATTTTGAATGATTATGTAAAATTGAAAAAGAACAGTAAAACTGAAAGTAAATGTATTAAAAACAAACCGGTAACTCCACATTTCCAAGCTGGGCCTGTTGGAACACAGTGTGCTGACACCAAAAGACGTATACTAAATACTTTTAATTAGGTTAACTGCATTAGCGACTCATATATATCACGATTATTTCGTATTTTTGAATTTTTTAGAGCTATTTCATATTCAGACGATTTGTATCGAATCGAACTGTCCTCCTTTCCAAAATTAAATTTAGTTCTTGAACGTTACACGGAGACGGAGCACACAGCCGCTGGCGGCCGACGCTCACAGGTAGCACTACCATGCCGTCCGAGCGCGGTGTTGCCTTTCTTTCATCACTGCTCGTAGTTGACGTCGGCTGTGATACAATACCACAGCCGACGTCAACTTCAGCCACTTTGCGAGTCACCCTGGATTGTTCCATGAATTCACTTCCATTGTAAATAGGTACCGTCACATTTATGTAATGCTCATTTTTTGTTTTTTTACTATTAAGCAGTATGTTTTCCTCATCACTCGAATCGATATCTGAGATGCAATCGGATTCTGAACATAAACTATAAGAATCTGATATTTCTGCGAGTACTACGAACAGGTATATATAATACCACAGCCGACGTCAACTACGAGCGGTGATGAAAGAAAGGCAACACCGCGCTCGGACGGCATGGCAGTGCTACCTGTGAACGTCGGCCGCCAGCGGCTGTGTGCTCCGTCTCCGTGTAACGTTCAAGAACTAAATTTAATTTTGGAAAGGAGGACAGTTCGATTCGATACAAATCGTCTGAATATGAAATAGCTCTAAAAAATTTAAAAATACGAAATAATCGTAAATTGAAAACGTAGTATTTGATGCAGGCAATATGCCTCGTTGTTGCTGTGTTCCTT